TCAATTCTCCTCGAAGTTTATTACTTCTTCTGTAGACAAGTACAAACGTGCAAGCGATCTGTGAACACTATACAGGTAGACTTTCGGAGAAATTATTCTCCTGGCTGCCGCGCGAATAGGCGCTGCATAATTCTTTAGATAATTTAGAAGAGTACGCGTAGAAGAACGGTCAATCGTTGCCAACACGTAGGTTGCAGTGCACTTACCATAACAATAGCGGACTTGAAAGAGGTAATCCGTGATATTTGTCGACACGGTCAAAGCAGGACAACCACACAAACACAAACGAGAGGGAACGGCTCCTTGGAAGTTTCAACACGATGCGGCGCACAAGCTGTCATTTGCCGAACCCAACCAAACCGCGAGAATTTGCGACTTCTTTGAAGAATCGCTCGTTGCCGACATACACGTGGGTCTTTTCGAACACTGATAGCTTTGGTGCACATCCAATACGTTGTCGAGAGACATCCCAATAAGACCGCAGGGTTAGGCGACAGATTGAAGCAGGTAGGACGAGCGAACTTCGAGCAGCAACTGACAACAAGCAGACAAAGAAAAAACCGGCTGCAAGGCGCGCCCTTCCGGATCTCGATGCTTATCAGCGTGTAGCTCGCGTAACAGGGGTGACAAGAGAGGAGGGAGGGGGCGAGGTCAAGGCGCTGGGACCACCGGGACAGCCCCTCTCCCTCTCCCCAGGCATTCCAGGGAGATGCGTTTTTGTAGTCCCGAAGAACAAACGCGCGCGCGCGCGCGCTCGCTCGAACTTTGGAAATGGCGGCGGGGCTGCCAGAAGCTCGGCTTGCGCCCGAGCGAAGAAAGAACTCAGCGCAAGCTCGTGGTTTGAGCGCTGCAACGGCGGGCGTGCTCTCGCAATGCTCGATGTTCTTGCAGCCGCGAGTACGCATGCTACCTTCGCTGCGTCTTGAATTAAAGTGAAACGGAGTCTGGACGTACATTCTTTCACGCGGTCGCGTCTTCTGCGAGAGAGATTCGAGCTGAATAAGTAAATTGAGGCAACAAAGATGGACAAAGTATTAAAGGTCTGTCAAAAATACCGGCTCACCAACGTCGCGCGTTTACGTAAAACAAAAAAAAAAAAAAAGGTGTTAGTTTTAGTTGCAGTATAATCGAAAATCAGCGCAATTGAAATATAAATATAATTACTTGCATTACGCGGACGATCTGAAATCGATGAACCGGCGCTCCCAGCCTTCCGGAAAACATTGGCTGCCACGGCTGAAACGCTAGGCGCGCGCCCACGCCGCCGATCTGTACGTTCAATATCAAACGGGCTCCGGAGAGCCGTTTGATTAAACCGGTGCAGTTTGCAACATGGTCGCCGGTTTGAGCAAACGTGCGACAACTTTGCCCAAACGAGTCGCCCATTTGCCCAGACGAGCGACCCGTTTGCCAAATAGGTGACCGTTATGGCTCATACGGGGGACCCCTTTGAGCCATACGGGCGACCCCTTTGACAAACTGGTGACCAGTATGGTTAAACGGTTACCGGTATGGACCCGTTTATTTTCATATCGGCGCCAAATGGTTTTTTTCAGTAGGGTAGAAGAACGGTCAATCGTTTCCAACAAGTAGGTTGCAGTGCACTTACCATAATAATAGCGGACTTGAAAGAAGTAATCCGAGATATATGCCGACACGGTCAAAGCAGGACAACACCAAAATACAAAAACGAGAAGGAAGGCTCCTCGATGTTTCAACACAATGCGGCGCACAAGCTGTCATTTGCCGAACCCAACCGGACCGCAAGAATTCCTGACTTCTTTTCAAGAATCGCTTGTTGTCGTTTTAAGCGTGTTTCACATGCATCGGTTTTGGCCCTAGGGCGGCGCGATTTCTACCGCCGCGGCGCTCTGGCCAGCAGCAGCGGGTGAGCGGCACGAGCGCCGCGACGGCATAAATCGCGCCGCTTTAGGGCCAAAATCGCTGCATGTGAAACACGCTTTACGCGTAGGACTTTTTGAACACTGATAGCTTTGGCGTATATCCAATACGTTGTTGAGACATCCAAATAAGACCCCAGGGTAAGGAGACAGATCGAAGCAGGTAGGACGAACGAAGTTCGAACCAGTCTGCGACGCACAGCACGCAGACAAAGAAAAAAGCGGCTGCCAGCGTGCGCGCTACCGCATCTCACTGGCGATGCTTATCTGCTTGTAGCTCGCGAGACTGGCGCCCTCTTCCCCATCGGGTCACGTGGCAGGTGACTAGAGAGGAGGGAGGGGGCGCAGTCAAGGAGGTCAAGGCGCAGCGCAGGACTCCGGGACACCTCCGCGCCCTCTCCTCAGGCCTTGCAGCACAACGTGTTTGCACTAGGGTGCCTACATGTTTCCGCTCGGCTTTAGGGTGGCGCCAACTTCTTGTTACCCTTTCCCAGTTCCTCTCCCACCACCATTTTGACCCACTTCTTATTTGGCTAAACGTACACAACGTTGAGTTTTCGTAGTTTCGACACACCGGCAACACTGTGAGGCCACTTCCGTTTCCGTTCATAAGAGGAGTCGGAGGCTCAGCGGGATGGCGGTGGTCGTGGCTGTCGCTCTCTTTATTCGGATGTTTCAAATTTTGAAGTTGCGAGCAGGAAGTGTGTGTTGCTTTTATCGAAACGCGAGTTCCCGCGACAAAATGGAACGCAACAGACAGGCATTGAACGCCGAAACCTCGCCGTCGGAACGAGAGCGGTGAGCGCTCCCTGGCCCTAACGAGGATGAGCGGCGTAGTCTGAGCGCACGACCGGCGAGTGTGACAAAATGGTCGACAAAAACAGCGGAGGTTGCCATGGTAACGAGGTAGGCAACACTGGTTTGTCGGCAACAGGTATCACAAACGTTGTCGCCACCCTGAACAGCGGAGCGGCGGAAACATGTAGGCACCGTAGTTTGCACAGCCTCGGAAAGCTGGCGAATCGCGCGCATTGGAGCACGCTCAAAAGCAGGAAATGCCGCCGGCCGCTCCGGTTGCGCCTGAGCGAAGAAAGCACTCAGCGCGAGCTCGTAGTTTCACTGCTGCAATGGCGGCCGGGCGTGCTCTCGCAATGTTCTATGTTCTTGCAGCCACGTGTTCGGGCGCTACCTTCGCTGCGTCTTGAATTGAGGTGAAACGGAGTCTAGAAGTATATTCTTTCACGCGGTGGCGTCTTCTGCGAGAGAGATTCGAGCTGAATAAGTGAACTCAGCCAACAAAAACGCTGAAGTTTTAAAGTACTGTCAAAAATATTGGCTAGCCAACGTAGCGCGATACTTAAAAAAAAAAAAATTTTTTTTTCGCAGTTGAAGTTAAAGTGAACATCAGCGCAATTAAAATATAAATATAATTACTTGCATTACGCGGACGATTTTAAATCGATGAACCGGCGCTCCCGGCCTTCCGGAAACATAGGCTGCCACGGCTGAAACAGGCGTGCTCATGCCGCCGATCTGTACATTCCATATCAAATGGGGTCCGGAGAGCCATTTGATTAAACCGGTACAGTTTGAACGGTCACCGGCCACCCGCTTTTGCAAGATGGTCATCGGTTTGAGCAAACGTGCGACAATTTTGCCCAAACGAGTGGCCCATTTGCCCAGACGAGTGACCCGTTTGCCAAAGGAGTGACCTGTTTGCCCAAATAGGTGACCGTTATGGCTCCTACGGGGAACCCCTTTGAGCCATACGAGCGACCCCTTTGACAAACCGGTGACCGCTATGGATAAACTATTACCGGTATGAACCCATTTACTTTCATATAGGCGCCATATGGTTTCTTTCAGTAGGGACGGTAAGCCTTTTACACAGCGAATGCATTATATACTCCATAATCAGGTTTAAACATTTAAGTTTCGATAATAACTAAAAAACATACATTACTTGAGGGGAGCTGTCAGCGCTAAAGAATAAGAGGCCTGTGATATTTACGAAGCTTACATTTTTATTTATACGCAATTTGGGTTCAATAAATTTGGAATATTTTACATGAATCATTACTAGTACACAAATTACTCGTTTTGCTACAGCAAATAGCTTTGTTATAGAGTTGCAGAGAGCTGTGAAATCGCAAGTGTCCTCACTGTGAATTTTGGCGCAAAATCGTAGTGTTTCGCTGCGCTATTAGCAACAAAGCTTGATTCGAGTTCAGATTCCCTTTCGTTCAATTAGGAGCGCCGTTACTTGGTGCGAGTGCAGTAAAACATTTTCACGGATATCGAATATTGGAATTCTAACGAGAGCGTCCCGACTCGTTTTATTTTGCGGCAGAATATTGGCTAACGCGTTTGGGAAAGCTGCGCTCAAAATTTGTTTCTGTTGAACCGGGAACTCATTTGCTTATCGTAAATATTCTGCCTTTCCAGATTTTCGTATATATTTTATAAAGTCACAACAAAAAATGCGACGAAGTTTTACTCTAAATATTAGAGTTTCTTCGACCTTCTGTTTGCACCTGCTGCTTTTCAATCGAGACTCGTTTTTCCCTTCGCATAAAACAAAATATTCTCGACTTGAGTCAAAAGACTGCCGGCGAGCGGATAAAACCGAAAGACTATGCAAATTCTGAGGATAAAAGAGGCGCCTTATGTGAGTGAAATTATTGTCATTAAAATCTGCCAGTCTAATTATTTTCGCCTGTTTATGGTAACCAACGTTGCAAAATCTTAAATGCAAACATACTCTCACTTTAGTAGTAGCGGTTATTTCAGAGCAAACAACGTAGATGTATGCCAAGTGGTACCTATAAGTTTGGTAACATGCGTGGGGAATGCATTCTGCCGGCTCCTTCGTTTAGGCGGCGTAACCAAGATAAAGCACGCTACAAATCTCAACTCTTTTGTTAAGCACCAATTAAAAAAAAAAAGTGTTTTAAGGAAAGAGTTTTGAAGGACATTCGCTTGCACGAATGAAACGGCAGAAAGCGCCGTTAGTTTGAAAAGATGCGTGTAACAATCGACTTAGGCCTACCCAATTTTCGCGCGTATTTTGCCCTCAACGTCCGTCCCGTGGTCCAAGCGTCACTCCATGGCATACCGCCGTGTCCATTCCTTGGCGATAACGTTGTAAGCCTCTTTGTCCGTCTTGTACACGTTGGCCACTTCGGGCACAAGGGGATCGTCCGGATTCGGGTCGCACATGAGAACCATGATGGACATGAGCACAGTCGCGATGGTCAACGAAGGGCACCAGTGCGACTTGAGTATGTCCAGGCAGATGTAACCGTTGCTGTTGATGTTCGGGTGGTAGATGCGCGTGGTGAACCTGACGTCGGGCGGTTTGAACGGGTAGTCCTCAGGAAAGCGGATCTTCAGCTTAAAGATACCTAGGACGGAAGAATGACAACAGGACTTCAACACTCTTATTGCATCAAATTTATAAAACATCCACATAGTTTAAGGCGGAAAAAGTAAGCTCATTTTCTAAACAAGTATAACTTATAAAACTTAGTCTGTAAAGGCTTTATTTTCAATAAATACTGCATATCTTTCTATATCTTTCGAAGTATTTTTAGACTATATATATTATGTCATTCATCATATGGCGACCTCATTTCTTAAATGCCCGCTGCATAAATATCTGCCGCGCGAGTCTTGAGCCAACGCCTTTGACAATCATCGCAAAAAAAAAAAAAAAAAAACAATCTGAACCACTGAAGTGTTTTGTAGTCATTTCATGGACGCAATGCCTTTGAAACTTCAAGGACATTGCAAGAGCAGAAGTTGCAGAACGTCAGTTCTCTAAGATGCTTTCATTCACTATCTTCACCAAATCGTCCTTGGCCGGAGACGGCCGGCTGCTCAAAACGTTATTGTGAACGCTCCGTTTGCCTTTATTAAACATTCAAATCTCTTCCCGCATTTTTACTTCGCTCATTGCTTCAAGTTAATTCATTTCACAAATTCCTCGACGTATCCTTATCTTCAGCATGGTCTGGAATTTCACGCATTCTAGTCTTATTAACGACTAAGGTGTGAGGTAAGCGAGTCGTTCTGTTCGTTTAACGATGATTATTATGGAGCATAGCCCGTAGAAATATTAACATCAAAACGAAATCATGTCATAATATAGACTAACTGTTGATGGAACATGACTGAGCATGTGCAACTCTGAGGGTAATGCTCTTGCAAGACTGTACTTACTGTCTCATTGCGCTTGTATCTCTCCATACACTACAGTATAAACACATTTGTCACCCTGGGATACTGAATAAGCGTTTTTTTTTTTGCGCATGCCTCTAGACGATTGCAAACAGGGCATCTAGCTGGCCGCTGCCATGTTTCTGTTCCTGTGACGAAGCACTTGAAATTGCAAACCTGCCAAAGTCACATTCACATGCATGCTGCACGTGCTTGAACGCATGGGTCACCAGTTGAGTCGCAATATTTGCAATAAATCCTTTCCAGAATTCAGTGCCATCTGGAGACTTAAATGGCAGTTTTACTTTTACCATAATAATGGAGACAATAAACTTGTAGTCTGCAGTATTTTATTCGGCATCATCACTTTCGCAAGTCAATGTCGAATGAGAATCTGCATTTCGCTGTACAGTTCTTTCTCGATATTATTTAATGTCGATGGCCACAAAGATACAGCCAGTCAAAACGAAGTGACAATCTAAGCAGACGTCTTAATAAAGTTCTATGCATCAATAGGCTTTGAAGCCGTTGTGTGCTACTCATAAATTAACCGGGCCCGGGTTAGAAATGAACACTTACGCAGCTCTTGCATTCAATTCCTACTTCGCATCGTTCTAACATCTCGAGTATATAGGCCCCAAATCATTAACTTAGGAGCATCTTTAACTTCTTCCTTGGTCAGTACAACAGAAGCCGCCATTAGTACGGCAGATATGGCATTTTTAAGATGATGATTGTGATAAAAGGGGTGAGACTGAATTTCGGAAAGGGTCTATTCTTTATTTGCTAGGAGATTGAACTAAGGGGAGAAGGGGGGGGGGGGGAGCTTTATTAAACTTCTGTTCCCCACAGCCCGATGTTTACTGACACATCATAACAAAAATATATAACCTCGCCTAGCACGATCTCTGCGCGTGCGCTTCGCTCTCATCCGTGCTTTTTTTCGCACGAGGAGTGGCCATCGAATCGTCATATTTGATTTCTTTGCTAAAACAAACCAACAAAAAAATCGAATTTTTTTTTCTTTAAGCTAAAGCGTACCGCTAGAGGCGTGACTGTTCGATCTCCTCGCCAACAGAAATGACTTAAATGTGCGGAAAGAGGCGGCCATGTAGCGACATCGGGTGCGTGCTTCAGCTCTTTCGTCGTGCTTTACAATGGGTGAAGCGTGGACATATATAGTTTGAAGTAAGGACTTGACGCAGCTGACCGATTCTGTCTCTAATATTTTGACGAGACTTAACCGAAAATTGTGTTTTCTTAACTATGCGGATCCGGGTTCCCCTTTTTTTTTACCCTTGAGCATTGGTTAAAATATATACATTAGAACCTGTACGGCTCTACGATGTTACATAAAAGCTAGGTCTGGGTAGAAACCTCGCTGCAATTCATGCGTTTTGGCAACGTGGACCAGGCATAATGTTATGACCAAGCAATAAAGGCTAGTTATATGATATAAAGTTATAAAGGCTAGTTTGAGTGTTATTGTAACCGTTGCAACAACGCGTCACACCTTAGGGCAATCTTACTAGAACAACTCAGTTGGGAGACTGCCATAGAGCCCCCTCTGAAGAGGTGGCACCGATTCGAACTCGAGTACCGAGCTAATGGCGATCGCAACGCCACCATTTCTCTCGCAGCAGCTACTCGGGGAACTGCACTGGTGCTTCCATTGGTTCGGGAGTATCGTATTTTAGAGCGTCCGCTGTGACTGTGTTATTTCCATTTATGGCTTTAATCGGCCATTTTGGTGCCGAAACGTATACTGTAAAAGGGAAGGCTGCCAACTTCCGTATAAGGCCCCTCTTTCCCCGAAAAAGTGGCGCCATTCATTGTTGTGGAAACGCTCGAGACACGTGCCGCGCGCCACTCCTGGGAAGAACATGGCGTCTGAGATCTAGCTCAGTGCTGCGCTGCACCGCCATGATCTTTGCAAGGGCTGCACATTGCACATGCCTCGTGCATCGACGCACCTTGCGCTACTTTTAAAACATGAAGGGGCTTTACTCCCGTTTCCGCCCAAGCGCACGCGACGCATTTTTTTAACGTTTAGGACGCACCTAGGTCGGGACGCCCTGCCTGAATTCAGCGGTTAGACATCGCGGTATAAAAATAATATTAAGTGTGCCGCAAAATCCTGTAAACTAAAATTGTATGAAAGCATTACGCTCCTGCCATTTTGTACTAATGTCTAATAAAATATCCTACAAAACGAGCAATTTTTGTTTGTTTTTACGCAAAAACATGCTTTCCAAAAGCTCATGGTGACCACAGTGAAGAAAAAAAAAAAGATTCAGCCGCCATCTTGGCACCTCGAGCTTGGTAGTTTCGGTATACTAGGAACATTCCGTGGCTCTAGCAGTAGTCATATAAAGCAAATTTCATGTTTCAGCTTGCCGCTAAAGGGTGGCGCTGCTATCGTCTTTAGCTTAAACTCGCTGAACGCCAGCGTCCCAGGTTTCAAGGTTGAGTTTCCCAACAGAGTGTTTTAGTAACGTTGGCTCAGGACGAGAGAACAAAATTCGTACGCTGGCGCCGTCTATCGGGTAGAACGCGGATTTTGTTTTTTCCAGTATTTTTGGAGACCAAATTTACGCATTATATACAAAAAAGAGTCCCTTATAATGTTGTCGGAACACTTGCAAGCCTAGGATGTAAGCTTATGCGTAATATATATGAGATTGGACTTGTTCCAAAGCCACATGATAAATAGCGCAAATGTCATTAGAACACGTATAAATCCCCAAAGTGAACTTAACGCATCGCGCTTTTTTTAGAAGTACTGACAACCGTTGTAGTGCGAGTGCGAGAGGCACGCGCCACCCCAGAGCGAGCGCTATGCCGCCATTTGCTTCCAAGGACCGCACGAGGCAGATGACCCTCGTTCAATGTCAAGAAGCTTTGAAAGGGCGGTGCGAATAGTTTGGTACTTTTAGTAAATATCGCTTAGAATTACAGTGTTCTAGAAGTTGTAGTGGCAAGAGTGGCGCCCGCTAACAATGGGCCGTGTGAAGACGGTCGACGTAGATGGCTGCGAATGGATAGCGCGGCGCTGGAGTTTTGTGCCTTAGGAAAATTGGGGACATATGTGCGATGAGCGTAGAAGAAGGCTCGGCTGATGCCTGATTCACATGGTGCGAATTTGCTTGCGATTTCGCAATTGCGACGCCGTTCTTGCGGCACAACGCAGTTGCGGTGCGAATTCGACTAATTCGCGAGTGCGTATTTTGCCAAACTTTCCTTGCGAACGGCCGCTCTTGCGAAGGGGACGGACAGCCAATCAAACGCGGCTCGTGAAAGACGTCACGGTGGTCATAGCAACGTGGGAATCCAAAATACGAAAAATGCGTCACCTACGTCGTCGTCTTCAAACTTCGCTGCGGGGGTGGGGCGGCGGATGTGCTTCTTCCAAGTGAATGTTTCTCGCCGGGGATGTAGGCTTGAGTTCGGCATTAAAACGAACTGGCGTTTACGTACCACGCGAGGGTTGTGGTTGCTTTCTTTGTAAAATTGCCGGCGATAATAATTGACACTTCTGTTCGATCACTCTGCGTAAGGGACTCGTTGCATAGTAGAAAGATTCTTCAAATCTGATTGCAGTTGACGCGAAGGTCTGTCTAGAAACCGAGAAACGCTGAACAGCACTTTGTTATTAAAGCCATTTGATAAAAATCGAGCTTCACATTTTTACGTATAGTGAGAATAACTAATTGATATGTAAACGCGCTGGACGCGTGCTACGCGAGCGACACGCGTGTAAAATGGCTTTAATTACAAAGTGCCGATCAGCGATTCTCGGTTTCTGAACAGACCTTCGTATCAGATCCCCAAACAGATTTCAAGAAAGGGTCTTTCTACTATTCAATGAGTCCCCTACGCAAATGTCACACGTGCCACGCGTGACATTTGTCATAGAAATCCTGTGACAATTTGGTTTTGTGCATAGTTTGCGATTATTTCACCAACATGATTGTTTTGGCTTTCGTTTTGCATTTGAAAACCTGTTTTTTTTATTTATGTCGTTTCCTTTATCTTCTGTGTTTTTGTCATGTTCGCAATCGCTAATATTGTTTTGCATTAAAAAAAAAGCTTAACATTTACGTTAGCTTGTTCATGCTGACCTACACTGAGGAAGTACAGAATGTGTTTTGCACGTCCAGCGTGTCGTTCATTTCATGAAAATCGG